AAGGAGGAGAACTTAATGAGTCAAGCAGGAGGGGAACGCAGAAAGCGCGCTTGTGTACTCGAAAAAGGTGAGTTGCAGCTGCGTTAAGTGCAGAAATAGTTTGAAGAGGAGGAGAAGCAGCAGTCGAGGAAATGAAGAAGAGGACAAGCAGCAGCAGCAGCAGAAGCGTCATCATCATCATCATCATCATCATCATCATCATCATCATCATCAGGTTGTAAAGTGATCATGGATGTCTCAAGGTCGATGTGTTCGAGGCTGAGCTGATGGAGAAAGTTTCGAAACAGCAGAGGTCAAAGATGAATAGAGTTCAGGTCAGACTTCTCCTCTCTCCCATCTCCCCCTCCTCTCTGCTACAACCAACTCCTTATCTCTCCTTTCTCTCTCTCTTCTCTCCTCTCTCTCTTCGTCTCTCCTCATCTCTGATTCTCGCACGGATCGGCAGGTTTGTACGGTGGCGCAGCTGATGACGTCAGAGAATCTTCGCAAGCTCATGGCGATGCAGCAGGCGCGGGGGGTCGAGCGGCACACGATGAGTCTCTACGCCATCGACAGCTGCTTCCTCCAGCTCTCGCGCGATAAGACCCTCGCCAAGGGCCAGGACGCGGACCCTGTGGAGCCCGACGAGCTCGCGCGAGCAGTGGTGGAGTTTCTATCCAACAAGCTGGAGGGGGAGGAGGAGGCGTTCGAAGAGGCGGGCCTGCGGGAGAAGCCGCTGCCTCCTCCTGACTCCATCCTTCACGCCAACTTCGAACCTCTGTGGCTCTGCCTCGGCACCCTCGGCCTCCGCCCTCACTCGACCATGTCCCGCGTGCTGCCCGTCATCGTCCTCCTCCTCCTCCAGAAGGAGAAGCTCAAGATGGCTCAGCTCGACCTCGCTCGCCCTCTCCTTCCTCAAGGAAGCTCCTAAACCAATACAAACCAAACACTGCGACTCCTCCTACTCCCTCTCCTCCTTCTCCTCCCTCTAAGACATCTACCAAACCCTCTCCTCTCCTCCTCCCTCTAAGACATCTACCAAACCCTCTCCTTCTCCTCCCTCTAAGACATCTACCAAACCCTCTCCTCCTCCTCCCTCTAAGACATCTACCAAACCCTCTCCTCCTCCTCCCTCTAAGACATCTACCAAACCCTCTCCTCCTCCTCCCTCTAAGACATCTACCAAACCCTCTCCTCCTATAACTACTTCTCCTCCTACGACTGCTCATACTCCCTCTCCTACCACTCTCCCTCTCCTACCACTACCACACTCCTTCCTTCGCAGAAAAAAGAAGTCATTTCTGGTCATTTTCCTGTCTCCTCCCCTTCATCCCCTTGTTCCGTTCATGCATCCTACCAACTCTTCTATCGACGTTCCTCGACATCGCAAGAGTTCTCCTCCTCCTCCTCCTCCTCCTCGACCTCCTCATTCTCCTTCTCGTCCTCCTCGACCTTCTTCTCGTTCTCCTGCTCGTTCGCCTCCCCGTCGCTCCTTTCCTGAGCCTCCGCAAGGCTGCTGGGCTTACCTGCCCTCTCAGAGAAGCATGAGGGTCCAGCAGATGCTCGGCTGGCAGAAGGGTCGCCCTCGCATCCCTCCCTCCTCTCCTGCTTCTCCCTCCTCGTCTCCAACACCCTCCACTCCTCCCGCCATGCCCCTCCCTCGTCCGGCGTCTGTCGCCTTCCCGCTGCGATGGTCGTGGGGGGGAGGACAGGAGGAGCTGATGGAGGTGAAGATCGAGCCGGACACGGGGAGAATGACGAGCTCTGTGAAGCGAAGAGGTTGAAGAGGAGAGGAAAGAGAAGCGCGAGGAGGGGAGGGGGGGAGAGAACGAGGGTGAGAGGGGAATGACTGCTTGAGCAGAGAGGTATGGTATCAGGCGGGAGAGGATGAAGGAGGAGCGCGTGTCCATGGCAGAGATCCTGGAGGAAGAGCTTCGGAGAAGAGGAAGACTTCCAGCGGTTTCCCAGCTCCCCTCCAGCTCGTCCGATGTCCCTGCTCTGAGCATTCGAGCCGGCCCGCAGGAAGAGAAGGAGAGGAGAGGAGAGGAGGGGGACGTGACTTATGAGCAGGGACGAGAACAACGGACGCGCTCTCGTCGAGGAGGGACAGGAGGGAGCAAGGAGAGGAGGCGAGGAGGAGCGTGGGGGGGAAGGGGAGGGAGGGGGGAGGAGGGAGAGGGAGTTGGAGCATGTAGGCAGGTAGTAGGACCTACCTCAACCCGCTGCTCGCTGACCTGATGGCAGACCGAGCATGTCTGCTGCCATCCTCGGACTCGGATTGACACGCAAGGAAAGGCAGCAGCAGCGGTTAGCGAGCTCTAGCGGCGAGTTGATGCAACCGTTGAAAGCCGGTTATGCTCTTGCTAACCTCTTTCCTCCCTCTTCCCATGCACCATCTCCTCCTCCTCCTCCTCCTCCTCCTCCTCCTCCTCCTACTCCTCCTAC